GTAAAATTATAAGAAGGGTGTCCTTCTGGTAAACTTCCCAAAATAGTAAACTTATCTATTTAATATTTTTAAGCAGATAAGTTTACAAAAAAACTTATTTTAGGGAGAATGTAATTCGAATAATTTGTAGATAAGAAATTATTTAAATAATCTGAAGGTTTTAGTTATACATTAAAAGTAAATTTTGTTTCTATGAATTAGGCTGAACTTGCAATTGCCTTTGCTTTAGATTATTATGTTTATGTTTTATTATCAGTTTTAATTGGTACTTTTAGTATTGGAATGATTTTAATTTTTAGTTATTATTTTTCATTTATAAATAAGTTATATACAAATATAAATATATATATATAAATATATATATATATATATATATATATCTTATATATATTTATTTATTTATATTTATTTGTAAAACAGAATTTTTAAGAGGTAAGTAAAAGATAAGTTTGGAATTTTCAAAGGGTATTTTACTTAATTTTATCCTCCTTTATTTTTTGGTATGTTTTTGGGATTAATTTTAATTATTATTATTAATGCTCTTTGCTCATTAATTATGTTAGGTACATTTTGGGATTATGAAATTTATCGTTGTGAGTAGAAAAATCAATAGCAATTTTGTGAAATGTCTATTTTTGAGGTTTTCTTTTAATTTTCTAATGAAGAAGAAAGCAATATTACTTCTTAATAATAATTAAGAAGAGGAAGAACTGGCCTTGCATTAATAATAATTGGTATATATAGTATTTTTTAAATGATTTCTTTATTTATTCCATACAGCAATTAAAATAAAATCTAACTTCAAAGAGATAAGCTTGAGAAAATAATAAAAGAAAATGAAGAAAAATATCCCTTACTTTAAGCTGTATTTAAAACGGAAAATAAATAGGAAATATTTTAAACAGAAAGTTATGATGGAAATGTTTGGAATTAAACAGAATGGTAAAGAATGTATTTTTTGTATTTTACTTTTATTATATTAATTTTGATTGTTATTTTAATAAATTTTTCTTTTTCGACTACTTATGGAGTATACTAATAGTATTTTATGGTTGTTTTAAAACTTGGATAAATAATATTAGAGGAATTAATTAAATTTAGGCTAATTAATGAATAACTTCTTAACTTAATAAGTTGTCTTATATGTAATCTGTTTTATTTTTTATAATTTTATTAATTTTTCTTTTTAAATAAAAAGCTCAAGGTTTATAAATTTCAAGTCTGGGTGCACCTGATTTTTTCGCTTTTTTATTTGCGTATTTTGTAGGTTTAGGTATTTAATGTTTTGAAAAAACTCATTAAATTGTTATAGTTGATATAATTATTAATAATTCTATATAAATTTATTAAAAATTAAAAAATTAATTTTAAAAGTTTTATCTTTTTATAATTTTTATATTTTTAATTTTTTTTAATTTTATTTTATTTTTAAGGTTTATATATAATGTATTTTATTAAGAGAAAGATGAAAAAGAAGATTTAGATAAATCTTTAAATAATTAAGAAATACAATTTGAGAATAAAATCAATTAAGAAAAAATTTATGGTATATATTTTTTAATTTAATAATAATACTAAATTTATTAAATACTTAGATTAAACCAATAGTGATATTATACTTTCTGATATATATTAAGAAGAAAGTTTTGAAACAATAGAATATCAAAACGGTATTATATTAAAAAAAATAATATTTAAATATACTTTTTGAATAATGTTTTCAAATATAATTATTAAATAATTAGAAATAAAGACAATTTCAAATTTAGAAAAATAAGGAACAATTGTTGAATAGAAATCAGATTCTTTAAATGAAGTTTCATTTGAATCAGATTGTTACGAGAAAATATACAAATAAATATATGAAAATTAAAACTAGAAAAATTATTAATATAAACATAATCCAATTAAGAAAAAATAAATAAACCAAGAAAAAAGTTTTGATCCTGAAATAAAATAATATACTTGCTTTTCAAACAATACATTTACAATTATGTATTATGTAAAAATATAATATGTATAAATATATATATATGCATATTTTTTTTTATATAAAAGCCTATTTCGATAATAATAACTTGGATTTATTTTGATGAAAATTTAATGCCTCCTAAATGGAATATATCAAAAGAAGGAATTATATTTTATTTTTTATTTAATATTATCATTATACCTTTCTAGATTTTTATAGATATTCTATTTCTTTAAGTAATCGAATAATTTTATGAAATAAATGTACTTGATTATGGAAAAGTTATAAAAGAACGATTTCAAAACAGAAAAACAGATTGGAAAGTTGACAGTGAAGATGATTTTTTAAAAGATATTGAATTCGGTCTTTAAAATATAGATTTATGGTGTTATAGTTCTTAATTTTATTTCTCTTTATCAACATATATAGGAGGTATTTCTTTATATAAATATATAACTATATATATTATTATTTTATTAAAAAAAAAGGAGGTGTTTGTTGTATTATAGGAATATAAACTTGTATAATTTAAAAATATAATTTATTTGGAGATATATAAATGTTTTTAATTTTAATAATATTTTGGGTTGGGTTTTGTGCCTTTTTTAGTAGATTTATACTTTTTTTATATAATAATACTTCTATATGGAAAATAAATAATAAAGCAACTGAAAAAAAGGAACATTTTATTAAATAATATGATTAAATTTAATAAAATAGAATTATTGATAATAATATATTTTAGTCATAAAATTAATTTTAATAATCTAATTTAGAAGCAATAATTTAGACAATAGCTTCACCAAATAAATATACTCTATAAAATTTTTTTAATAGTCCTAATAAATTATAAACCTTCAGAGAAAGAGTATTAGGAAATAACTTTATATAAAATTAAAAGTTTGGAATGTTAAATACATGTATTTTAAATAAATATAATATAGAAGAAATTAGATATTTAAAACAAATTTCTAAAAATATTTATTTCAAACAATTTCTTTAATTATAAATAGAAGAATTACAATATTAAGATTTAAGTATTTAGAATTATTTATGTTAATAAATATAAAAAAAATATGATGATTAAAAAGAAGAAGAGTAAATATAAATTAAAAAAATTTCTTTTTTTTTTAAAAAAAAATAAATAAAAAAATAATCAAATAAAAGTAAAGATATCAAATCTATAGATAATTAATAATAAATACCTTAAAATCTATTTAATATAAAATCTTTAAAATTAAATTTAAAAAAATTAAAGTAAATTAAAGATGGTTAAATAAAAATGTAAGAACTCAAACCTTATTTAGAATAAAATTAATATTAAGATGAAAATTTCTTAAAAAATTATGTAAAATCTAATCTTTGGTGGTTTAATCGTAATTTAGATTAAATTCTAAATTATAAAGAAAATATACAATTAATAACTTAAAATAGATCACATTTAATATATATTCTTTAATAAAAATTTGGATGCAAAATTCAGATAAAAGACAATAATAATGAGTAGAATCTAAACCTATAATAAGAAATGTTGATTAAAGATAATATGTTTAAAAAGTTAAATGTAAATTAAATTCAAAGAATACAATTAATATTAAAATACTGGCTTAGAAGAGCTAACTTAATTAAAATAATATAAAGACATATAGGAGGTTATTTATTAAGAATAATGAATGTAAAATGTGATTTATGTAATGGATAAATTGGTTTAATATGTTCAGGAGAGAAAAATATAGAAGAAATATTTTAAAAATACATAAAAGAATAATAAAAAACTTTTTAAGGAAGAATCGAAGATAATATAAATGTTGAGAATTTTCAAAATTTTTATGTTTAAAATTAAAAATTTAATACTATTTGCTTATTTTGTAGTGAATAGTAAGTTGATATGTTTAATTTGATTAATTAAATGTATAAAAAATATGATATTTAATAATAATAAAAGAAAAAAGCCTTTAATTAATAACAATACATTTTAAATAAAATTATAGAAGAAAATCTTATGGAGGAAGATAACTTTGCTATTCAATAGAAAAATAATAATGATTTTCTTTTGTATTTGGATAATTGTAAAATTAAATTTTGTTTTACTTTTATTTTAAAATATTGGCTTTATTAGTTAAGGAAAAAAAAAATTATCTTTAAATTCCATAAAAAAGCAATAATTAAAGTATTATATCTCTATCGGATTATTCTTCTTCTTCGGAATATGATGATGTCAAAACTCATCCGGAAAATTCATAAAAAGAAATATAGGATAAAAATTTTAATATTAAAAATACCCTAAGAAATAATATAGATACGCCAATATTAAAAGTATTTTCATGTGATAATGTTTAATAAGAATTATCAATTTTTTCACCAAGATTAAATTATAACTTTTTATAGGCCTTAAATGATTAAAATGGTTTAGAGTCTTCTACTAGAAAATTAAATTACTAAAAATAAAAATACAATTTAAATTAAAGTGAAGATTATGATAATATATAATGAAATAAATATTCAAAAGAGAAAGTAATAATAATAATAATAATAATAATAATAATAATAATATTATCAATAAAAATTAATTAGTAAATCAAAAAAAAATCTTAATATTTATTTAAAATGTTAATATATTTTAAATATTTTTTATAATTATTATAAATATTTATATAAATTAGTATATTTTTTTTTTAATATAGTTATATTTTTATATGAATTATATATTATATATATATATATATATTAATACTAAGTTAATTATATAATTATATGTTTTTAAATTTTTATATAAACAATTATTATAATTTGATACTTAATAAAAAATTTTTAATTTTAAAACTTAATATATATAATCAATATTAATTATAATTTTTTTTAATAATATATGTTTAAATATATATATATATACATATATATATTTATATATAATTATATTAATATATATATTTTAATTTCATTTTTTTTTTAATATTTTACGAAAAAATATATTTTTTTAAAATTAGATATTTTATTTATATAATATAAAAAATACATATAAAAGTAAATGACTGATTAAAAACCAATTCCACTTGATAAATTAAATCCATAATAACTTACTGAAGTTAAAAGAAGTTTAGAAGAAGTATATATACTAGAATAATAATTCTTAATCATATTTAAAAATATTATATATTAATTCATAAAATTTATAATTTTATTTATTTAGGAAATACAAGTTTTAAATTAATCTCTAAATTAATTTAAAGTAGCAATTAGTAAATACGAAGAATCAAAACAAATTATAAAAACTTTAGAAAATGCTTAATAAGATTAAGAATTACTTGTTCCAATTTCGAGTAGTTTATATGTTCCAGGTAATAATATAATATTTTTATGAATATTAAAAAACATTAACAAAAATAAAGGAAGTTTATAAAATGATGGAAAAGTAATAATCGATTACGGAACTGGATATTATGTTGAAAGAAATTTAGTTTAAGCACATTAATTTTGTAATAGAAAATTAGAAATGATTAGGGATAGTTAAGAGAAGCTTACAACCTTAATTTCTTAAAAAGCTAACTTTTTAGATAAAATTAATTTTGAAATATAGAAAAAATATGCTTTATATCAATAAGAAATGTAAAAAAAATAATGATATGTTTTATGCGAAAATTGACTAAGAAGATATTTAATATTATTATTTAAATTTATTTGTTATTAAATAAATATTTGTTTTTTTTTATTTAAAAAAAAAAAAACCAAATATTAAATATAAATAAGTTTATCATAAATGTAATATTTTATTCATAAAATATATAAGTATATATAAGAGATATGTATTTAATATTTTTTATAATAACTTATAAATTTTTGTTTAATAAAATATTATATAAACTTACTTTATAAAAAAATAGATATATATATATAAATTAATGGGTTAATTATTATTTAATTTTATATTTTAAATATTCTTTTTTATCATTAATTTTTAAAACTAGGTTTTTATATTAATATTTTAGTATTTAAAAAATTATTTACTATGCATATATATAATAAATAAATAAAAAATTAGTTAATTATATATGAAAATAAAATTCAACAATCAAAATATATATTTAAATATACTTAAATTTAAATACAAAAAAATAAAACAAAAGAAATGAACAAATATTTAAAATAATACAATTAATCACCGTAAACATTAAATAATATATTTGAATATAAAAACAGTGCTTTTAAAAACAATAAAATGTATATTAAAATAAAAATATTTTTCATTATAAAATATAATTATATTTTAAAAACAAAATAAATAATATTTTTTTTAATTTTTTATAAGATAATATTAAAATTATTAAGATAAATCTTTTTCAGATTAAAGTAAATTATCTTACGAAGATATATTATAGAAAGATCATTAAGAAGAATAATATAAAGAAAATTAATTTTAGCAAAAATAAAATAATAATGTAAATAATGATTTATTTATAAATAAATTAGTAAAAAATAACAGTTTTAATGGATATTAATAAATGCAAAAAACATCATTAAACTATAAAAATAACTCATAAAAAAATATATGCAAAATAAAATCATAGTCTTAATCATAATAATAATCATAAACATAGTAATAGTAATAATAATAATAATAATAATATAATAATAATAATAATAATAATAATAGTTTCATGTATCTATTAATGATAAATAATTTTATTAAGATTAAATTATTAAATAATAAATAAATGCGAATAATTAATATCAATATTAAAAAAATAGCTAAATTTTAAATCATCAAAATTATATTTAAAAAGATGAAAATAAAACTTTTTATAATTAAAACTCAGTTTTAAATGTTAGAAATCATAGTTAATTTTCAAACGTTAAAAATTAAAATGTTTAAAAATAACATAATAATTATATATAAAATGATTTCTAATAATTATAAAATAATAAAAATAATTAATATATTGAACATTATAAAGAAAACGATATTTAATTTTATAATGATTACAATAATTTACCTTTTAATTAATAATTTGATTCAAGAAAAAAATTCTTAAGTACATTTAATTATAAAGAAAATATTTAAACTCCTAATACTGGAACAATGTAATAAAATGGCTCAAACTCACAATTATTATCAATGAATAATTATACTTAAAAAAATAATAATGATGATTAAATATTATCAATTTAAAGAAAGAAATGGGACAATAAAGCATAAACTACAAAATACAATATAGAAACTGACGAAAACTAAGATATGGATTAAATAAAAGAAAGATTTAAATAAGAATTTAAGAATTATATAGGAAAACAATCAGTATTTTACACAAAATAAATAAATGAAATAGAAAGGAAACGAGAAACAAATGAACAAGATGATTTATTGAATTACTAAAGTAATAAAAATAATACTTATTAATAAATGAGAAAATAAGAAATATAAAATAATTCTAATAATGAAATAGATATATAAAAATAAATAAAAAAATAACAACTAAATAATTATTTTAAATAAAGTAGTGTTTTTGGAGTTTAGAATAATGATTAAGGAAATAATAATTAAAATATTTTTAAAGAAAATAATAATTTTGGTTCTTAAAGATCATAAGATTTGGGTTTATAAAAGGAGAGTTTAGCAGATGCTTTCAAAAGAAAGAAAAGCTAATTGTTTGATAAATTAGATAGAAAATAATAATAATAATAATTTAGTGATTAATATTAATATTAAGGAAAAACAAAAGAAGAATTAATTTAAATCAGAAAATCGTTTATGAAAAGATAAGGAAGTATGTAAAAAGATTTTTCGTATAATTTATCAATGAGAAATTCTACTTTTTATAATATTGATGAAAATAATAATTTTAGACATGAAGTTAGAAACACTAAAAATGAGAAAGATAAAAATAGAAAAATATAGAAATTTTATAGGATAAAAAATAAATTAAAGAACCATCTTAAGAACTTTTAAATAGACTTATATATGGAATAAAAGTTAAAGTATATATTTTTTTTATTTTTTAATTGTGGTTTAATTTTGTTTGTTTGTTTTTTTGTTTTTTGTTTTTTTTTATTTTTTAAAGGTTGATAAGAAAGATTATAAAAAATTTGCATAAAAAAATTACGAATAATTACCTGAAGTTAAAAAAAAAAAAGAAGAAGAAAAAAAAAGAATTGAGTTTTAATAAAGAATCAAATAAAAAAAGAATATGAATAAGTAATTGAATATTATTATTATTTATTTTTTAAAAACAAAAAAATTATTTTATTTAAACAAAAAATAATTAAATAAAGAAAATAAGATTATTTATGAGAAAAACTAATAATAATTAAAATTGAAAAAAAATAAAAAAACAAATAAAAAACTTATTTATATATATGTAACTTTTTTTTAATTACAAAAAAAAAAAAGTTATATACATTTTTTTTTTTTTTTTAATTATTAAAAATATACATATTTTTTTTTTTTATTTTTTAATATAAAATAGTTCATCCATCTTATTCTATAACATATATTTTTTCGCCTGTTTTAAGTATTTTATGTTTATTTCTATTAGGATTATATAAAAAGTTGCTAGAAGCCACTATTTTTAAACCATTATGTTTCTTTCTTTTTTTCTATTCCGAATCGTCACTATCATAACTATTTTTCTATTCTTTTACTTTATCTTTTATATTTTTTTGAATTATTCATCATATTAATTCGCTAAATTAGTATAGAATTAATTTCTTTCTTATATTTATTAATTGTCTTAATTATATTTTAATGGAGCTTATGATTCTTATTAAAAAGTATATTAATTAGTTGCCATTCTAACTAATCTACTTGCTTCTCCTTATTAGTATTTAATATCTTTGCTTGAATAATATTTACTTTTTTAAAAAATATTTTCAATAAAAGTATAAATATTTATATATATAAATACGATTCGTCTTTTACTAAAGGTTATAATTTTTAAAAGCTATACTTTTTATAAATATCATTATTTTATTTTTAGAAACTTATATTAGTTTTATTTAATAAGTTTTTATTAGATTAAATTGTAGTTTATGTATGTTTTTATTATATATTTTCTAATAATTTATTAATTATACTAGGTTCTTTTTTTCTAAATAAAAATAATAAAATAAATTAAAAATATATATTATAAATTCACATTATTATCTTATTTTTGATTAATTATCATTTTTATTTTCTTTTTTTGATGTAGAAGTACTAACTCTATTTTAATTAATATCAATTTTTTATCCTTATTATATTAGTTCTAGGTTATTATTAAAATATTACAAATTAGTATTTTAGAACAAATAATTTTTAGTTTTTGGAGCTGCATTATAAAATTATTTAATAGAATTGACATCTTCTTAAACATATTCTTCTATTACTTTTATTTTTTTAAAAGGTTCTTTTTTCTTATCTCTTATTTTAGCAAGTTCATCTTCTTCTTTTATTTATTTTTTTAATTAAGAAATAGGATCTATATATGGTTTTGGTTTATATTTATATGTATAAAGTTCCTTTTTTTCTATAATTTCTTATTCTTCTTAACTTATGACTTTTGGAGGAAATATTCTATTATATTTTTCTTCTTTTACTTTTTCAAATGTATTTTCTTGAAAGTACTAATTACTTAAATACTTTAATTTTATTTTATTTTAATCTTCATCATTTAATTGTTAGTTTTCTAAATTTTCTAACTATTCAAATACTTATTTCATATCTTATAATTTATATTCTACCCAATCAAATGGAAAGCTCCATTAATTTTTTCCAAATTTAACTAAACTAATCTTTTATTTTTTTAATAATATATAATTAATATATAAAATTATATATATATATATATATATATATATATATATATATATATTATATATATATATATATATATATATATATATATATATACATTAGCCCAACAATCACCTTATAAATTAAAAAATTTCACACATTTATCTTATGAACATGTAGCATAACATAAAGGTTAAGGTATTCTGAGTATAAAATTAATAAGATTTTAATGAGCAGTCCATCTTTTAATAAGTATAGAGTTAAAAGCATGAGTATAGAAAGGCAATTTTTCATTTCTTCTTTCTGGTGAAGAAAGTATAAAATCGACTGTTTTGGAAGCATTGATGAAATCTTTTCTTCTTAATTATTAATATTTTTTCTTTTTATCATTTTTAATAGGAATTATATTCCTTTTTTGTAAATATTCAGTCAAATTCCATACATGAACCATCCCTTTTTAATCCCCAACTACTACATAGAATCTTCTTTTATTTTCTTCTCGAGTAGTTTCATATTATTTATAATAATATTGATAATCGATTTACTTTTCGAAGTATTTTTCACCTGCATTAACACTATTTGCGGCAGTTGATTATTAATTACTATTAGAATAAAAATTGTCGTTTTCATTAAAAAAAACTACGTTTTCAGTTGGAAAAACAAGAAGATTTTCCTTAATTTTATCTGATGTTATATCATATTTTTTTTTTTTGACATTTTATTCTTCCTTTTTTTCTTCTTAAATTATTGGGTCAAAACCAGTTCCTTATTAATGAACGAATTAATCATTTTCTTGCATTCTTTCAACTCCTGATTATATTGAAGTTTCGCAAATTATAAATGATATTGAAATGTTTATTTAATTTATACCATTTTCAGAATAACTGTTTATAAATCTCCCTATACTTCTATATATATATTATGTAGGAGCGCCCTTTATTCCCCATATATTTAATACTCCTGAAGTACCTCCAGTTATTAATATAGGATATGGTTCACCAAATGACATGGTTGTTATGTCACCTTTTTCCCTTGCGACTAGTATACTTTCTAGTTTTCCAGTTTCGAATTCCCATATGGCTATATAACCGTTACTTGAAGCACTTGCTATTAATTTGAATTTCTCAGAATATGTTAATGTGGTTATTTCACTATCTTTATGGCCACCTGTCATAATCTTTTTGTTGTTATAATATTATTATTATTTTTTTAAATAATAAATGTTACTTTTAACAAAACTGTTTCTTCTGAATCTTCTTCGTCATAAATTCTTACTGTAGAATCCCAATATGAGGCTATTAATAATTTTTCTTCTGTTAGATATAATATTTAAGATATTTAATTATTTTCTTTTTTTTTTATCGTTATTTGTTTTTTAGTAAAATCTTAACTTTCAGTTTCATCTGTTGTATTAACTAATTTTAATTAAGAACCGTTTTTCATATTATATTAGCGGATTAAACCTACATTATCAGCGACAAAAAACTTCCTTTAACGAGCTCCTAAACAAAATGTGGATAAATCAACAGGATATTTTTCGTCTTATAAATCATTGAAAACTTTTTTTAATTTTCCTGTCATGGCATCATACATTCTCATATCATTTCTTTTTATTTTTTTTATTTAAAATAGTTTATTATATTTTTATTTTTACTTTGTTAAAATACAAAATTATTTATAATAATAATTAAATTGTATAGATAAAGGATAAACATCGTCGTTTATATTTAATTTTTTTCCTGAAAATTAAAGGTTTTCAAAAAATGCTAACCTTTTTCCTGTTAAAATAAACATATCTTTTTTTTAACTATAAATTATACAAGCATCATAAATTATTGAAAATTAACTTTTTTAATATAGAAAAAAATAAATAATTTATTTAATAAAACAATATACCCGTCAGAATTTATTACTTGAATAGTATTCATTCCTCTAATATCCCAAATTCTAACATTACATTTATCATCTACAGAAATAACATTAGGAGAAAAGTCCATAAATTTACAAATTTAAACTAAACTACTATGTCCTTCTAGCTTTCCAATAAAAGGTCTTGTAATTGACACTTCTGGACACCAAATATTAATATGATAATCAAATCCATAACTTAATAAATTAGAACCATAATGACATGAATATGTTAAACCTAAAACACCTCTAATACTTGAATTAGGGTCTCTAAGTTCTGTAATAAGTATTGGAGGATTTGAAGGATCAGTTAAGTCCCATAATTTTATTTTTCCGTCTAAAGAAGAACTAGCAATTAATCGAGGAGACATTAATTCTTCAATTTTAGTGATTGTTTTAAGATGGGCAATCATTAATTTATCATGATGTATTTTTTCTTAATCTTAAAATTAGTTAAATTTCCAAGTTCGAATATTATAATCAGCTCCTGCAGTTATCCACATTTTATGAATTGGTAAATAGAAGATTCCAGTTTATAAAACATCATGTTTAAATATTTTAATACAGCGCATTGATAAATTATTTTCCCAAAAATAAAATTACCTGTTTGATGCAACTATTGCAATCTAATAGAGTAAATATATAAATATTATATAAATGAGATATATAATATAAATTAAAAAAAAAATATATTAAATATTAATATAAATATATATATATATAATTATATATTATAAAAATAAATATTTATATAATTATATATTTTTATATTTATTTATTATTCTTTTCTATTTTTACTATTTTAAAATAGCTATTTAATAATAAATATATAAATATTAACATCTGTTATTATATCTTATTAAAATTAATTATTCTAAATAATAATTATATAAATAAAAAAGTTGATTATAGATATATCATTTTATAGCAAAATAAATTATTTATGAATAAATTATTTATTAAAATTAATATAATAATAATAAAATTTATTAAAATTTTAAAAAGCTTAATTATATATTAATCTAAGTATACTTTATATGTTAATTATAATTATTATAAAAAAATAATAATAATCACATATTTAAATAATTAGAATAAAATAACAAATTAAATAGAAATAACATATTTATAAATAAAATAATATTTATTTATAATATTTTGTAAATAATAAAATTTATATGTAAAATTTATTAGATAATATTTATTATTATATAAATATAAATATATTTATATATTTTATATTTATATATATTATATTTATATATTTATTTTATTATATATATTTACAGTGTTTAATTATTCAGCTATAGTAAAATCAATTATAAAAGGTTGTAGTTTATCCTCTGCTGGTGGTTAAATTATTACTTTTTTTTATTAAATTTCAATTTCTTTACATTCTGTATAATAATATTTTAACTTTGATGAATTTTATTCTAAAGAAATTACTGCATCTATATGAGGAGAATATATAGCTTTTATAATATGGCCTTAATGGTTCATATTATCAAAATATTTGCAAGGAAAATATCTCTTTGATTTTTTAGAGTATGCCCTATCGAAAATTTCTTATTCTGTCATTTCTCTTTCCCTTTCAAATCTTGCGTCAAAAAATATAGCATCTTTTTCTCCAATTACAGCGTCTATTATATATTATGTAAATTCACTCCATTCCATATGTTAATCGCCATTTATATCTATGTCTTCAAATAATTTTATTAGGCCGTTTATTAATTCATATTTCTCTTCTTAAGAGTGCATTATAGCACATTTCATTAACCATACAAAATTCGCTAATTCTATACCGTTTGGATGTTCGTTAAACTCATCTTCTAAAGCTGCTAGTTTATCGTTATCTAATAACATCATAAGTCTATATAATATTTATTTGCTATGATTTATTTGCTTGATTTTTGTTACGTTTCGGCTGTGAATTTGTTTTTATCATTTATTAATAACTCTTTGTGTTCTTTTAAATATTTTTTAACGTCTTCTAGTGTTACTGTTATATCGGGGTCCATTTTCATGGTTTCTTTTTATTATGCACGCTTTTTGACTTATAGTAAATTTTTATACATTTTTTTTTAATTAAAGTATTCTTTTATTTATTTTTTTAAATTTTTTTTTTTTTAAAAAAAAAAAAAAACTAAAATAAAATAAAAATTAAAAACCCAAAAAAAAATTAAAAAATCTAAACTTTAATATAAAATGTAATAAATAAAAATAATATATATATATATAAAAAAATAAAAATATTCGTTTTATTAAATTTAAAAAAAATAATTAGAAAGTAGGAAAAAAAAATTCATTTTTTGTTAAATTAATAATTATTATTACAAGTTTTATTAATTTGCTAAAGATTTAATTTTTTTTTTAAACTGAATTTTTTATAATCGATTGTTTTTTTTGTAAAACCAGAATTAATCTAAGGTAATTTAATAGCTTAATTAGTACTATTTGTATTATTATTATTGACAGAATTAAATTTAGATAATTAAGAAAATGAAGAAGCTTATTATTTATAATTTAAAGATTTTACAGAAGAATTAGATCCTGGAGAATTAGTATTACTAATAATTCTAATAGATAATCTTTTTTTAGAATTATAAATAGATAAATTTAGAGGTTTACAATTAAGTTAAAAATCATCAATATTTTTTTAAAGATTTAGTTTTAATAATTATTCTTCATTATCTTATTTACTTTTATCAAATTCAAGAAATTATTTAGTATTGATTTTTTATTAAATTTCAAGGATTTTTTATTGAGTTATTTATGAAAAAAATCTCACGTCTTTATCTTTATTGTTTGTAAGATTTTTAAAAATTAATTATATTTTTTCGAGAAATTATTATGATTAATTATCTTAATTACTAATTATTAAAATAATGTATATTTTTTCTAATATTTAGGCTAATTTTATTAATATATTAGGTACTGGGTCTTTATATAAATCTAAAATTATAAATAAATTGTATTTAAAGAAAAATAAAGATGAAAACTTGTCACAACATTCTTGTATAAAATTCACAAATTATAATCTTAAAAAACATACGGGAGAATTGTATAGTTTTTTTATTAATTTTTATATTAAGTATTAGGTTATATCTATATGATAATTTATACTTATGTATTTTACTAATATTTTTATTCCTTCTTTTTTTACTTTTTCAACATCTACTTTTATAGATTTTAATATGCAAGGTATATGTATTTCATAAAATAACCTCAAATCAAACACATGAATATAACTTTTTTTTATTTAAGTTTATGTATATAATATTTATTTTTTTATACTTATGGAGTTTTTATAGATATAATGTTTTTTAATTCCAGTTTTTTTAAAGGGCATCGTAAAATCTTTATATTATATTTAAAAAATATTCATCTTTTTTATTATTTTTGGTAAAGTAAAGTATTATAGAATCAATATTTTCGATTATTTTTTATGTAATTTGTTTATGTTTATCGTTTAAGATTTAAACAAATAATTATATAAGTTAATTTATTTAATCTTCGTGACTAAAATAAGTAATAAATTAATTAAAATAGCTTACATATTATAACCTAACATCAATACATTAATCATTTAAAATACATTAAATATAATTTTATTTAATATTATCAAAAAAAATATTTATATCAATAAATTCTATTAATTAAATTAAACTTTAAGCAGAATTTATTCTTACTTTTTAATTTTTATGACTCATATAATTCTTATAATATTTTTTATGTTAATAAAAAAATAAAAAAAATAAAAAAAAATTATTACTGTAATACTTTTTAATAATAAAGTATGATTATTTTATTCTTTAAAAAAATATTAATGTATGTTTTTTAATGCTTTTCCAATTATAAGAGACATTCTGATTTATATTTTTTCTGTTTAATTTTCTAATGCCTCAATAAATAAATTAGAAATTTAATTAAGACGATTGCTATTTGAAATTAGTAAAGAAATGTTAAAAATTAATTCGAGACCAGCACATTTAATATTAATTCCAGAATCATATGCAAGTTAAAGAATCTAATTATAATATATAAATATAAAAATATATATGTATATAAAAAAAAATATATATATAATTATATATATAATATATATATATATATATATATATTTATATTAAAATATATATACATATATTTTTTTTAATTTAGTTACCTAATCAAATATATCATTTTCTAATTTTTCCTATGTTATTTATTAACAGACTTTAAGAATTACTTCTTATGTCATTATTTTTCTAATCTAATAATTAATGTCTAAACTAACCATCAAGCATCTTTATAGTAATTAACCATTTATCTTCCCTTTCTGATACTTTTATAAATTAGCTAAATAATTTACCATATTAAAATTTTGTAAATATATATATATATATATATATATATATATATATATATATATTTATATAATTATAAATATTATATAAATAATTTTTATTTTTTATATATAATAATCTATTATTTACTTCCGCTATAAATCCAATCATTCTACAAGATATGTAACGACTTTCTATTGATTAATTATTATTATTTAATAATAATATTAATTATTTTAATTCTTGTTCAATTAAATCATAATTTATTATTTAAATTAATTCCTTTTTTATTTATTAAATATATATGATTCATTAATTTTCAATAATAAAATAATAATTTAATTTATATTAAAATAATATATATTATATATATTTAATTTATAATATTTTTTTTATATATATAATAAATTTTCACTTTAAATAACATAACCCATTAATCTAAAACTTATAAATTTTATTATTTTAACATTTTTATTGTTAATTAATAAATTGAAATTATATATTATTCATCTAAATCCTAATTTAAAATTAAAATATAAGTATTTTTTTTAAAATTAATTATTTTTAATTAAAATTACCTATTACATTATGTATTTTTTCAAACTTATACTTGCTTATATTTATGAGTTTTTATCTTAATTAGTTATATCATTCTTATTTAAAATTAATTTTCAATATATTTTTTTTAATACATAAATAATTTTTATAAGTTTCTTAAAAGCATCATCTTCTTTAAATATAATGTGTAATCTTGAATATATCTTTTTTTATATTATTAAATCTTTAAGTTAATAAAAATATATATATTTCATATTTTATTATACTGAATATTTTTAAATATTGTTTCCTTTATTTAATATATAAATTGATCTTTATAATTCACTTAAATCTTCTTGCAATGTAAATTTTTTATTTCTTCTTAAGTCTTTTTACATTATCAAAAAAAAAATGCATAGATATTTTTAAAAAATATTGTTTTTTTAATACTTTATTTGATTGTTTATATTCTTTTTATTCTATGTTTTCGTAAATATTTATATCCATTTACTCAATTTATTTCTTTTTTTTTTTTGCCAATTTTTTATATCTTTATCTTTTAGGCAGTATAGAATTTCAAAAATAAATATAAGAAAATAAAATAAATTAAATTTAAATTTTTCTATGGTAAAATTTTAATATATTTAATTAAATATACTTATATATATATATTTTAATTAATAAATATTTTAAAATATAACTTAAATATTAAATATCTAATTTCTAAAATTTCTAATAAAATTATATATTAAAATTTTATAATTTTTTTTCATAAAAATGATTATATAAAATTATTCAATATTAAGATATTTTTTATATTTTTTAACATATTTCTTCTAATAAATTTAAAATATGCTCTTCAGTATTTTCTCTATAAAAAAAAAAAAAAATTATAAAAATATGTGTAAAAAAAAACCTGTTTTTCTTTTCACTTTCTAATTCTATTTTAACTCTATTAACGACATCCTTAAGCATATCAAAAATAGCTGCTTCTGATTCTTCTTTAAGAATTCTTTCATTAACAATAGTTTCATTTAAATTATTTAACTCTTCAGTTGTAATTTCCATAATATTTTCATCTCCCTTTTATCTTTATATTTAAGCTTTTTTAATTGCTTCTTCAATTTAAGGTAAATCAATTTAAAGGGATTAGAAAAGACTATCTACATAATAATTTCTTTATTAATTTTCCTTTAAAATATCATTTCTAATGTTCTAAAAATATTCTTGAAATTTCAAATTAAATTTATTTTCGTTATCATTATTTGTCTTTATTTTATTATATTTTATATATAATAATTAAATAAAATAAATATATATAACTTATATTTCTATTTATATTGCTTGTTTAAATTTATTATCTAATTATGATTAATTTTAATTACTTTCTAATATTAAATTATCGTTATTTGTTTTATCTTATTGTAATATTTTATCTAATTTTACAAGCTTTAATAATATATTTTAAATAAAAAATATTTTAATTATAAAAGTTTTTTTTTTACACTATCTCTTATTCCATTTACTGAATTTGTTAAATCTTAATCTACTTAGTTAAATTATTCAATTATTTAATTTAATTGTTCATCTGCTTTTTTATATTTATTTATTCTTTAAGTTTCAACACCAAACTTAATTTATTTTATAATTATTATTATTTATATATTTATTAAAGTTACTTTTATATTTTTTAATTAATTTTTTAATTTTTCGATTCTATCTGAATGAGGAGAACTTTATTCAACTTTTTAATAATTATAATAAAAATTTTATTAAAAAATAATACATTATTGTTTCATTTAAAAATGTTTTTTATTTTAAAATTATTTTTAATATTAAATTTATATAAATAAAAATTAAAATAATATAAATACGACAAAATAAAAAACGATTAAAATAATATAAAAAAATAATAAAAATGTATGTTTTAGATAATTTATAAAAAAATAAAAATATAAAATTAAAATGGATATAAAATATTATTTAAAAGATTATGTATAAATATATATAAATATATATATATAAATTTATATATTTATAATATATTATATAATATTAATTTATATTTTTTAATAATATATGATATATTATATATGAATATATATATATAAAATTTATATATTTTTAATTTTATTATATAATATTAATATTTTTTAATAATATATGATATATTATTTTATATTTTATAATTTTTTATTATTATTTTTTTTATTTTAATTTTACTATTTGTTATTCATTAATGTCTTTTTATTCATTTTATTCTGTATTAAGTACACATTCACATAAAGATTTTAAAAATTCTTAGTTTTTATCATTATCTTTATAAAAAGTAC